AGCCTTTGATGACACATTTTTTTTAGAAAACAAGTATATTTATAAGTGCAAATCCTGATTTTCAGAATGAATGTATGTATGCATTTTCACTAAAAACATCTTTACTGAATACTTAAAGTTTTTCTCATATAGACCCAGGCCTGTCTTTAAGGGACAGAATCAATAAATCACTTTAGTGTCTTGTGGACTTTCTTCCTAATGGAAATTTAGACTAATTCCTGAGTTATGGGCTGGTTTGAGCACTCCACCCATCTTATACAATGGATAAGATAGACTTGGCTGCCTACAAAGTACTGAAGTGGGAATGGACTCTCAGAGAAGTAGTAGACTTCCCTTTTGTATCTTCAGGTGTCCCTGCCCACCTGATTTTCCTCAACCTCATTTAACCCAGGCCTGGTGACCCATGGATGAAAAAAAATGACAAATGTTACAAAAATTTATTCTTCATAACTTTCTTTCCTCTAATGAGTGGTCAGATAGTGAAACAAATGAGACCAAAGTCTCTGTTCTGATGAATTTACTTTCTCTCTCTGCTATTTGTCAGATGTATGCATCACACGTGGACAATGCAAAAGAGATGCCAGGTCATCCAGGCATGTAGTAGACACTGAATCAGCGCTATAACAGAGGCTTCGGAAATGCACACAGTTAAAGCCACCTATGTTAACAGCACACGTTGGAGCAAAGACAGGTTTATGTCCCAACACTGGAAAATTATGTTCCACATGAAAGGAAAACAAGACTAGATCCACATCTCTCAGCCCACACAAAAGTCAATTCAAAATGAAACAAAGACTTTAAAGTAAGACCCAAAACTTTAAAACCACTAGGAGGCAAGTCTTCAAGACATAGGCAAGGAATTTCTGTCATGGACTCCAATAGGACAGAAAATAATTCCAAGAATTAACAAATAGGATTAAGTGAAATGAAGAGAATCTTCAGCACAACAGAAACTTATGAACAAAGTAAACAGCCTACAGAATGGAAAAGAACTTTCCAAGCTTCACATTAGACAGAGAACTAGTATGTAGTATATAAAAGGAACTGCAAAATCTAAACACCACAAAAACTCTAAGCACATGATCCAGTTAATAAATGTGATAATGAGCTGAACATACAGTTCTTAAAAGAAGAAATATAAATGCACAATAAATGTTTTAAAAGGCATTTAGCATCCTTGAGCATAGGGAAATGCATATTAAGACTGTGTTGAGTTTCCAACTCATCCTAGTCAGAATATCTATGATCAAAACAAACTAAAATAGAGTAAATGGCGGTGAGTTTAGGAAAGAACTCTATTCATCTCTGGCGAGAATGTAAACTTGTATAAAATGGAAGTCAGTATGGAGTTTCCTAAAACAAAACAGAAGAACCCCGCCCCCCAAAAAAAAACAATGAACCAAACAGACAAGCAAAAAAAAAAAACAAAAAAACAAAAAAAAAAAAACCCTGAAACTAGTAATGGCTGGATAAAGGTACACAAGTAATGTCTTGACATACTTGCAGATAAAACACCCATTCAAATAAAAAAAAAATCAAATAAAATTAAATCCTAAACAGAACCAGCTATACCACTCGAGTATGTACCCAAAGGACCCTGAGTCAACATACAGCAGAGATACTTGCATATCCATGTTTATTGATACACTTATCACAAGAGCCAAGGAGTAAAAACAGCCTAGTTGTCTATTAACAGATGTGAGGATAAAATGTGCACAATGAAATTTTATGCAGCCATAAGGAAAAATGAAATCATGACATTTACAGAAAAATATGGATGCAACTGGAAATCATTATGCTAAGCAAAATAAGCAGACTGGGAAAGATAAATACTCTGCTTTCTCTCGCATGTAGAACCTAGAACTGACATTCTTTATATGTATGCAGATATGTATGGGTTTGTGTGTGTGTGTGTGTGTGTGTGTGTATTTATAGGCCACAAAACTAGAAACCATGAGATAGTAGGAAGAGGTCTTAAGCGGGGAGGAGAGAGGGTGGTGGATAAGCTGTAGTAAAGAAATAAGAATGGGTGAGGAACGGAGGAAGTAGCAGGAAGAGAGAGGCAGTGAGAAGACACCTGAGAGCAGAGGCACATATGTATGGGGAGTGTCGCCACACACACATGACCTTGGGGCCTGGAGAGGTGACACCTGAGAACAGAGTGAAACGGAACATATGTAAGGGAAGTGTCACCACAAACACATGTCCTTGGGGCCTGGAGAGGTGACACCTGAGAACAGAGTGAAACGGCACATATGTAAGGGGAGTGTCACCACAAACACATGTCCTTGGGGCCTGGAGATGTGTTCAGGGGTTAAGAAGGTGTGCCACTTTTGCAGAGGACTTGGAGTTTGGTCCCCACTGTTCACACTGGGCATGCCCTAACTACCAATAACTCTTGCTCCAGAAGTCCTCACACCATTTTCTGGTCTTCTCAAGGATTATACTTATGTGCATATCGACACACACACATACACATACACACACACACCACTAAAAATCAAAAATTTTAAAGACTTTTTAGAAATTAGTCTGAATGTTAAGCTAATTATTTTTAATGAAATCCCACTTCAGTCAGATTATATTAATTTGTCTGCCGCATTCTAGAGTAGATACCAGTCCCAAATACCTTTCTTTACCAGTTCTGCTCATGCCTTTGGCTTTCTTTCTGGTCTCCATCTTTTTCTTTACCAGGCTCTCTTTCCTCTCCCTAATTCTTTAACGTACATAATGCTGAATTCAGTCATTACCAGCAGCCTAACTCCACACACATATAGCAGAATATGTTACTCTATCTATCTATCTATCTATCTATCTATCTATCTATCTATCTATCTATCTATCTATCTATCTATGTGTGTTCTATGCGTGTATATATACACATATATTTCCTCATATTGCTTCTTTTGGTTAATGATACCATGACATGTCTTGTGCCACCCAAACAACTTAGAATCAGTATAAACCCTCTTCTTCCATCACCCTTTAAGTCCTTACTCACCCATCTGCAAATTCTAAACGTATTTGAAATGACCCCAGCCTCCCAGCTTCCTTGGTTGAGCCCTACTCTTGCTTCCTTCCACCTTGTGGACATCTTCCCACTGTTAAGGCAATCCTATTTGTCTTCTAAAGGGTGACCTTTCTAGACGTGTACCCGACGACACAAGCCTTATGATCTGCCCTTGCCTAACACTTTTAATCACTGTCCAAACAGCAGTCACCTTCAGAAGTTCTGTCTCCACGTGCTGGGAGGCCGTGCTCACTCCACCCGCAATGCAGCCACACCTAACTTCTCCCCGTTCCCAGGGTACTTCGGTACTTTGACACTTTCATGACCTCTTCACTGCTGTTTGTAGAATGCTCTTACCCTCCCTCATCTTTATGTGTCTTAGGTCCTGCATCCTCCAGAGTGCTGCACTGAAACATTCACTGAGCACTCTCCAAGTTTTGCTGTCTTTTTTTTTTTTTTTGGCATTTACAAAACTATGCATGGCGTGGAAGCATTTCACATCCGCCTATGGTAGGAGTCTCCATAGCCACAGAACTTTGAGATGGACTGGACTGCCTACTGTAAGATGTTTGGTTTTCAAAGGCATGTAACAGAAAGCTCATAGATCTAAACTTGATTTCAGTAAGGTAGTCTTTCGCCTTATCTTTGCTTTGGTGACAATGGAAATAGACAAGAGTTTTCCATGTTTTCAATATTAACACTATGTTCTTAAAACTTAATACCCTAAAAGCCAAAGGAGAGCGAGGAAGAGAGAGAGAGAGAGAGAGAGAGAGAGAGAGAGAGAGAGAGAGAGAGAGAGAGAGGAGAGAGTTGCTAGACTAGGTATTCAGCCAGGAAAATAAGATCTCTATCACTCCATAACCATCTACCCTCATCTCACCCCCCCCCACGCCCAGGCTTAGGCCAGTTTGCCAATTAAGTAATTCTTACCATAATTACCTAGTGAACCTAATGACTTTACAATTTCTGCCCGGTCTCACTGGTCCTGTAGCGTTTGTTTGTTTGTTTGTCTGTTTGTTTGTTTTCCCCAATTGTTAAAACAGCTGCTGAGTTTCAAGCCTGAGAGGCTGGGTTCGCAAAAGCTCCCAAGTGAAGGCTGGGGCAGGCAGTCCGTGAAGAGTCGCTTTCTGTGCTCAGCTTCCCTCTACCAACCTCCAGCCTTCTGAATTGAACCTTTTGTACCTAACCAAGCTCAGAGTTCCTCTCCATTGTTTTCTTTTGGCTTCTGGACTGTAAGATGGTCCCGTGTGCACTGCAACTCTAGCCAGGTCGTGCATCATTACGGAGGTCTCAGACACTCCTTCCTGCCACCACCCCCACCACTGTGGCAGGGACCTAAAGAGAGCAAGGTGTCCTGTTCGCCCCCCACCCCCGCGGGTCTTGTGTGGGGAGTTCTTGGTCGCTGGACGGGAATGTATGGGAGAGAGAGGCAGCGAGGGAACGTACGTGTGTGTGTGTGTGTGTGTGTGTGTGTGTGTGTGTGTGTGTGTGTGTAGCGCGCAACGGGAGAGAGGGCGCGAGGCACGGAGGGGGAGCTGCGGGCAGAGGAAGGCGGGGCGGCGGGCAGAGGCGGGCAGGCTGGGAGGAGCAGAGACTCAAGCTTCTGCAGTGACACTCGGAGCCAGAGCGCACTCCTTGCCCGGAGAGGCGAGAGAGCGGAGCTAAGCGAGCCGCGTAAGAGCTGCCGCCTCCGTCGCCGGTGCGCTGGGCTCTGCCTTAGCAGCCCGCGCCGGCACTTAGCGAGCCCGCCTGTCCAGCAGCGCCAGCTCCGCGGGCGGGTTCAGCATCCTCCCGCCACTGGGCGCCCGCATCAGTTCGTGCTGCCCCGAGACCTCCGGCGGGGTGCTGCTGCCTGCACTACTTGCAGCAACTTTTGCAGCCGCGTGCGACCGGCCTTCTGCCCGGCTTGGAAGTTCGCAGCTCCCGCCACAAAGTTGAGACCCTTGAGCAATCCAAATTGCTTTTTCATCTGCCTCTTCCCCAGCGTGCAGGTCCCCCTTGGTTCGTGGATCCTCGTGCTTGACATCTTGGTGGGATCCCGGGACGTGGACTTTCCCCACAGACCACATCTTCCGGGAGAGATAAATCAAACAAACTTTCCTCTTCCCGCTAGGAAAAACAAACAAGTTCTTTAAGGTAAGGAGCAAGAGCAAAGCAATCCTCTCTTCCCCGACGCCTTCGTGCGCGGGTACAGATCTGGTCCGACCGCGTTTGCACTCGTGGGCTGGTTCAGGGTCCCGGTTGAGATGCGTCCAAACACAGGGACGGATAATATCAGAATTGCCTAGGACAGGGATGTGGGCATCTCTCCCTGTGGCTTGGCCTCGGTGAGCGGCTTTAGGTGGGCAGACATATTTCTAGGGCTGGGGAGCTGGACACGCGGCGTCAGGCTGGAGCGGGTCCACGGAACCGCTGGCTTTATCCTAGCCTTCCTGGACACTGAGTTTGGCCTGCTGCGGGTGCGCTTTTGCTTTCCTCCCCGATTAAAGAACCTTCCCCCTATTCTAGTTCTGCTGGACTGGGTGTTGCGGGGTCGGGGTGGGGGCATCCACGTGGGTCTGCGAAGCTTGCGGGACTCGCGGCGGGGAGCGTGGAGGCAAGCTCCCCACAGACGGTGATGGCGCTGGGGTGGTGGGGATCTTCTGGGACTCGCCCAGGAACCCCGCGCTCTCTCCTCATTTGTCCTCTGCTATGCAGGGCGGCATCCTTAGAGAAACTTCTCTAAACTGGGTGGTCTGCGTCCCGCGCATACTTTACGCAGCAGAGCAGAGCAGCTTCGGAGGTCGGGACACCCTCCCGCCGCAGCAGCCACCTTGTGTGGCGACCTCCCCAGTCTGTGTGCCCACCCGGGGAACGTTCTGGTTCCAGCTACCTTTCTCCTTGTCACAGCGGTGGGAACTCTCGGAGTCGGAATGCCAGCCTTCAGACTGGCTCCGCTCTTACCCGGCTCTTCGCAAACTGCTGAATTTGGGGCGCCCTTTCATTTTTGCGCTCGCGCTTCGTTCCCACTCTTCCCCTCTCCCTCGTCCCTGGCTGAAGTCTGAGAGTTCTCGAAGTAGATCGCTTCAACTGCATTAGACTGGCCTAGGGTGACTAGGTCCTTTCTGGCCAGAGTATATGGAAGCGGTTCACCCCAATCCTCTATAGGTCACCGCTCTCCTTGGCTCTCCAGAGCGCTGTCCATCTTTGCTCTGGGCATAGTTAGCTCCCTGGAACCAAGATAATGGAGTGACAGACTGAACCTAAGAAAATTTTCTGGTTTTGATAAAAAAAAAAAAAAAACAACACAAAACAGAATTCTTTAAATAAATTGGGATGGTGATCTATTTACTTCTTGTCTTTTCGTCCTCAAACTACAGGGAATGATTTGTTTATTTGCCCTGAGCAGCAGGTCTCCAACACACTACTTTCTTATTCTCTCTCTCCCCCCTCCTTTTACTTGCTTTGTGGACCTTTTTATGGTTTTCGGAGAAGAGGGTCTCCACTCCTCCCCATCTCCTCCCACTGGGTCGCCGAGTGCCTGTGAAAACTGGGGGAGTCATCCATGGAAATAAACAGGACCCCTACGCCATTCCCCGCCCCCCTTCAAGCAAGTAAAACCCTCCCTGGGCTCAATCACAAAAGTAGAGATAAAACAGATAAAGCCGCCCTCCCTCCCAAGGGAACTGTTGCTGAGAATTGCACGCCTTTGAATTGTGTTATTATCCTAAAAGGGTGATGGATGGGTGCAAGATGCACTGCGCATACGGAGCAGAGTGTGCTGGGGGAGGTCGGCACTTATTATTATTCATCATTAAGTATTAAGAGTGCTAATAAGGCCATCACCCTAGCCGAAGTCCGTGTTTACACGCACTTGGTTTTATGTCAGTCTCTTATTACAGTGGTTTCCGGAAGGGCCAACACCACAACTGTATTCATTCTTCACACTCATTACACATATGGGACTGATCAACTGTCAAAAAGATACTGTCATTTTACCAGTTTAACTCGTGAACTTGGAGAGGGCTGCAGCCCTATGAAATGCCATTTTCATCACTTTGCCTTTTCAGAGTTTAAAAAACTTGGCAACATAATTAATTATGGTCCCAATTCCCATTTTCAATCTAAACCTATATCCAGGATTATATTAAAATGTCCCATCACCCATTCTCTAAAAGTGACTCTTGTGAAATTACATTCCAATTTGGGGGATGGTAGAACAACTGGGAATGCCACATCCCCGAAGTAGGAGAGGTTAATACTGTTTCAAATTTCTGTCACAAACTCTTCTTCGGGGCCTAGAGAGATGGCTCAGAGGTTAAGAGCTTTTGAAGCTCTTGCAAAGGGTATCAGTTCTGTTCCAGCACCCACAGCGATCAACTCACAACTCGCTGCAAGTCCAGCTGTGGCTGGCACCTGCACGTAAGTGCCCATGTGTGCACACGCGTATACACACACACACACACACACAAGTTAAAATAAATACAACTTGAAAACTCTTTTTTCCTCTGTAGAGAGTTATTACCCATTTCTTCTTTGCAGGGCTCTTCAGTGACTGTCCTTAATCTTCACCATACACTTGAGACTTAACAGCTTGCAGCTTTGTCTGTATTCCTATTTCCATTTTTATGTCAGAGCCCCTTACTAATTAAACTTTTATGTCAAAGACTCAGGCTCATGGCAGCAACACTTTTTTAATTAGTAACTATCGTAAAAAAGAAGCTAGAACTCTGTAATGGGTCCAAATTGCTAGGAGTTATATGTGGTTTAAGTTATGCGTTTATTTCAGCAGAATCAAAAACATCTTTTGATGATTTGAACATCCAGTTTTTAATCTCTGAAGATGTAACAAAACGTATAATTTCAAAACCTCCTCGTAAGAACAATGAAGCCTCACCCTTAGTTTACTCGCCCTGGGTCTTAGCATCCATGTACTGAGGTGAGAACCTCAGAGAGAAAAAACTCACGTCATAACTTTGCTTTATGGTGCAGAAGAATGCAACATCCACAGGAGCCAAAGCAGGTTGGTCTTTGTGTAACTTAGAGATTTTTCACTGACATTATGAACTTGGCCCTTTTGACTTTAGGTTTTCTCACATGGATTTATCACCCAGACACTGCCTGTTTTGCGGGAAAGCGTGTATTTTAAAGCTCTAACGAATTATTGGAAATGAAAGAAAGGTATCCAGTCTTGATTTCTTAGCGGTTCTAGTCCGGCTACTCAGAGATCAAAATGCTCTGTTTTAAAGTTGACTATCACACACACACACACACACACACACACACACACACACACTCATTGTGACTAGAATGAAAGCGTTTCAAGTTGTTGCAGGGGCAGATTAGGAATGATTATCGGAAGACATGAACAGTATGTGATTCCCACATAATTGCACAAATTCTATTATTGTGATGAGGTGGTTGATACTTTCCCATAAGTATTGTTGTTTTCCCCCCATTCTCTTGATGTCTGGTTTGATAACTGAACCGACAGAAGCACCCAGTTAAGGACTCATCCCTGCCAACCCCTAAGAAGAGCAGATATGGCACAACCAACACAAAACCATTCCACCTAATCCTTGAAATAGTTTCTATGATCTCTAAGAATTTACTTTGGAATGATTACTTGGAAAAATATAATTTATCCATCCTCTGTCGGCTCATTCCCTTGCCTGTAGCCTCGGCGCAGCTGAGTTGTTGAAAAGCTGACAACACAAACGTGCTTTAAAACTGATCTTAAATTATTTAAATACCACCCCCCCACACACACACAAACCTCTGTATTAAGGCTAGAGAGGTAGATCAGTGACCAACAGCACATGTTGCTCTTGCAGAGGACCTGAGTTCAGCTGCCAGTACTCACCTAGTGGTTTGCAATGGTCTATAATCTGAGGTCCAGGGAATCCAATGCCGTCTTTTGACGTCTGAGGACAGGAGCCATGTGTATGGTGCACATAAATACACACAGGCAAAACACTAATGCACATAAAATAAAATAAATGCATCTTTTTAAAAATGCTATGCATTTTATTCCCTATAGTCTGGATAGTTTCTACTTCCTATATATTGCAAAGGATAAAAAATATAAAATGACAAGCTTCTTTGTTGATTTCCCACTAGGAATAAAAGTAAATACAATAAATACAGTAGTTTGTGATATCACACAGTAGTATGTAGACCATAATTTCAGAAAGCAGGGCACATAGTGTATTTGTGCAAATTTGTGTGTCTCGACACTTCTGAGATGTCACCTGGCACTTGCCCAGAGTTGCTCAAAAAGGATCTGTTGTAAGCTGCTTACCTCTTAACTTCCAAATCTAGAGAGGCCAGGCTCATGCCTTTCCTCTTCCTTTGCAGTCTAATGAAAAACTGCAAAGAACAACTCCACAAATTTCACTCTTTTGAACTATTTTAAAAACGTAAATTGTATAGATAACACAAATGCTCCAAATAAAAACAAACTTCTTGAGTTGCATTTTACAAGTTGAGCGTAGAACATTTGATGGGTGTGGAGTAAGGGCAGCACAGCTCTGTGGACCCATCCCTTTGGGAGGAGGAACCAGGTCTGAGCACAGAGTAGCTGAACCCTGGGCCCTGCTGCAATGTCCTTGCTGTCAAGAACCCAGTGAACAGGATCCCATCGAGGCTTCAGTTTAATGTTCCCGGTTCTCAAGAGCACAGAGCGTTGCAGGGTTTGACGTTGTTAGTCTTGCCATCACTTGGAAACAGACTTTAACTTATTTGGTGAATGCACTGAGTTTTTCATTTGTCAGTTTTCCTATTGCAAATTTGGATGACACATACCGAGTATAACTTGGTAATTATGACAAAATCCTAATACACAAAGAGTGAGATTCATATCATTGGCAAAGGTATTTACATGTTTTGCTATTTATTGGCAGCAGGTATGTGAGAAACAGTGCTAACTTGAAAAGGCCTTTTTGTTTAGGATTGGCTTAGATGCTGCAAGTGTCAAGAGACCGTAGAAAGTGAACAGTTACAGTTTATAGATCATTGTAGTAAAACACGACCCATAGCCAGTTTATACATCTCGATATGGCAATGATGACTCCCTGTAGTTGCCTTGGCTGTCCTAGAACTGGCTCGTAAGCACACAAAGCGCTTGGGCATGGCTCAGTAGAACATTACACATCTTA